CCACACTCAATCAGCCAGGACTCTGCAAGAACTCTAAGTGCTTCCACACACTGCTAAACACAGTTTTCCCACAAAATATCCGTAGCTGAATTCTCTCAGCTGAAAGCAAGTAAAAGAAACCCACTCACCTCTCTCACAGCTCTCTCTCCTGCTCCTGCTCAGAGCTCAGCTGGTCTCCTCTGCCTCTGGCAAGGTGCTTCCTTAAATAGAGGCCTCCCCCAGCAGAGGTCAGGCAGCAGCTATTCAAATTCAAATTCACCCAGGCACTCAATCACAGGCAAAACAATGCCCCTTCCACTTCCTCTCAATTACAGGCAATCCCAGTCAAACAGTGCCCGTTCCTCTCCCACACTCAATCAGCCAGGACTCTGCAAGAACTCTAAGTGCTTCCACACACTGCTAAACACAGTTTTCCCACAAAATATCCGTAGCTGAATTCTCTCAGCTGAAAGCAAGTAAAAGAAACCCACTCACCTCTCTCACAGCTCTCTCTCCTGCTCCTGCGCAGAGCTCAGCTGGTCTCATTATCCAAGGTCAGGTCTCACCCACTCTGGTGCTGTTTTCCTTCTCCCAGTGCCTTCTCAACTCCATTTCCTTCATTGTAACACCAGGGGGCTTTTTTCTGGACATTATCCAAGGTCTTGCCTGCTTTGGTGGCATTTTCCTTTTCTCATCGCCTTCCCGCCTCCCATTTCCCCCATTATGACATCAGACAGCCATATTCTAGCTTTTAAAAACAAATACATCATTGCAATATCTCTATAGTCTTATAACATTATAATGATCCATTGCCACTACCTACTACCTACCACCTCCTCTGTGCTTCCAGCTTTCATTTTTAAGGTCAGTTATTAGCTGTTTTCATTGTGGAGATACACCTTTCTTCTTATAACTCTGGAATGAAAAGGGCTACAGATTTTTCAGTGAAATCTGAGAATTCAAAGGAACTAGTAGATTGTATCACTATATTGTTATAATGCATTAACAATCTAGCTGTTGCGGATTTAAAGCTGGGGGAAAAAACTTCCAGTGGAATGGAAGGGAGTGGTGGCCACAGGGGGGCAGAGGCAAGGAAAACTGCCATGTGGATAGTGTGTATTTGCAGCAGCAAAAAGGGCTACTCAGAGACTCATCAATGTATGGAAGCATCTCAAGAAGGCAGTGATAGTTTCCCATATGCTTACTTTCCCAAGAGTTTTGTGGAAAATGTACCACCCATCACAAAAATGCAGAAATACACCCTTGACATAGACAAAGCAATCTTATTCATATTCGTTTTAACTGATTAAATCTGCATAGCTTTGCATGCAAATAAAAACAATAGTTCAGAAGAAGGAAAACAGCATACTCTTGTTTTTATATGCACACATGTCCTAGCAGGAACCTTTTTATGTTGCAGACATAGTTGTCAAAAGGCAGGAAAAAAAATAAGCAGTAGTCTAGTAGCACCTTAAAGAGTAAAAAAAGTTTATTCTACCATAACTTTTTCTAGATTTGAAGTAGGGTTACTAACAGTCCTGGAGGTGAAAGAAAATCTTGTTCCTTTAATATAGGCATAATGGGATTTTATTTACCTCCATGCCATGAAAAGTGTCAACCGCCCATTTCCACACATTAATCCTCTATTAAAGGGTCAGGACATTTTCCTTCACGTGGGAAGTGGCCGTGGCTCAGTGGAAGAGCCTCTGCTTTGCATGCAGAAGGTCTCACTTTCAGTCCCTGGCACCTCCAGATGGACTGACTGATCAGCAGGTGATGTGAAAGACCTCTGAGATCCTGGACAGTTGCGGCCAGTTTGAGTAGACAATTCTGACCTTGATGGACCAAGGGTCAGATTCAGTATAAGGCAGTGTCATGTGTGTGTCTTTGGCAACCCTGACTGTGGGATGAGCCCTTCTTTCTCCAGGGTTTGCAAGTAAAAGAACTGGTATGTATGTTGTTAGTGATGTCGTATCAGCACTCAATTTTGACCCTTCCACAATGATTCTGCCACTGTTTATCCATCTTAATATTTGTAACAAAACTTTTAAAGCCTCCCATGAATGGTCATGGATTTCTCTGTTCATTTATTGTCTTACTAATTTTTTTTAAAAGAAACTTTGTTTTTAAAGTGAAAATTGCTCCAAGATTGGGGGGTGGGGAAGGTTTCTTGGTGACCTCATGAGGAGCCTCGCCAGCTGAATCCGTGCACAGCTGGCTTCTGCTTCAAACTTGCAGGCAGTGTTGCCAGATGTGCAGAAATTTCATACATGCATGAGAACGCAGGGCCTCCACACGCGAACATTCTTGCATTTTGTATTCTCCTGCGTAAATGAATGAAAATTATCGCGGCACTAATTTGATTGCCTGAGCAGGTCCTGGTGTGGAAAGGCAAGAGTGGTGGATGAAGACAGAAGTTCTATTTTGAATGTGACGGAAGAACTTTTTAACAAGCGTTCACCATGTTCCATAGCATTTTCTTTTCAGGGCAGCCAAAGTGCACTCACACCCCCAACACACTTAGAATGCTATGCCTGTCTTCACCTTATGCTAGAGAGTCGGGAGGTTTCCTGTACTTGTTGCTCTAACCCCGGGGGCCAAGGAGAGCTCTGCCTCCCCCCCCACCTCAGTGAGAGGGAGAAGGTTTACTTAACAGGCTTCCTTTTTATTTTGTCTAGAGACATTGTAGGTAGTGCTTCAGTGGGAAAGACTTTTACAGGGAAACAGAAGGGGAGACGAGAACAGAGAAAGAAGAGCCCAAACGGTATTTGTTGCGAAGCAAGTTCCTGCTGCCCAACTGCAGCCCCCTTGCCCCTGCGCAGCATACAAAAGTTTTGAACCAAACCTGGGAATTTCTGATTCCAAACTGATAATTGGGAAACAGCGTTTGCAGAATGGTCTCTCCTCGCCCCGCAGCTTGATTTTGGGAAAGAAATAGATATATTTTGATATGCGGTCAAGGTTCTTCCAGAGTGGGCCCACCATTCAAAAAACCGTTGTCTGTTTTCACCTTGAGAAGAAGCATTCCCTATTTTGCGTTGGTAGTTGCCACTTGTGGCTTTTTGTAGGGAACTCTGTTTTTTAAAAAAACTGATTTCAGGTATTTTTAAAAGCTGGTGCCTGATTAATGAGGGAGGAGAATCACTTTTTTACTCAAAATATTTGTGTAAAATAAGGAAAGTTGGAGTATCAATGAAAGCACAGATCGATGTGAAGGCAAAGCAAGCTAGGAGATAATCCCCCAACATCTTGTCAGTTGGTCTAGATGAGGCATGTCTTGAATGTGTTCTTGTGATTGTGTCACAGGAGTAATTCAGCATCCCAAGAATGGTGAAAGATGAATGGCTCATGAAGCCCCAGTTTGCCTCAGGAATGTGCAGAGAAGGGAGAGCAGGGTTTAAACCTTCAGCCCTCACTTACTTACACTATTAGATCCAGTTTTGAATAGTGAAATAGAGTGGAAGCTGAATGGTTAAACCCTATCTCCCTTCCTTGCATGGCCCAGAGGCAAACTGAGGCAAAATTAGGAAGCCGTGTAAGCCCACAGTTTACATTCACTCGAGTGCAAAGAAAGGGTGTGTTTTTTGGAAGGAAAAGCAAATTTAAGACAGTAGATATGGGGAGAGGCCACAATTCATTGGGAGATCATCTGCATCTCAGATCTTGGGAAAGACCTTTCTTTGCCTGCAGTTCTGGATATATATTGAAAAGCTGATTCCTTGACAGCTTGGCAGCCGCCAGAGACAATCTCTGCACCACAGACTTCAGAACCAGATATTACCTGTATTTGTGAAGGTGATTGCAGGGGAGGCATTTGCAGGGAAGAACTGTCAGGAAGAAGTGCTTAAACTCCTACCATCCTTCTGGTTGGTTCCTGCAAATGCCTCCCCAGGTGCTTTTCTCCCCACCCCCATCCATGAGGCTTGACGTCTGATTTTGGAGTCCTTAAGCAGAATAGCCATTGCCTTTCTTCATAAGAGGATGGCAAAGGAGTCATCTTACATGCATTTTCAGCACTTTCACTGTACCTAAGTTCTCTGGATTCTGTGGGGAAAGCCATGACTGACTTAGTTGACCTAGAAGGGTGTAACTCCGCTTAGGATCGCACTGTCAGCAACTCACAGGCCGATGCCAAACTAGCAAGCCTTAGCACTGGAATGTATCCACTTGCTCACCCAGCCCGATGACTTTGGCAGGTATTTCAGGCAAGCAATATAAGAGGACCCTGTCCCCCCACCCTCACCTTTTTGCAAACAGTAAAGTTTTTACTAAAAATGTCTGATGGTTGACAGCAGTGGACTGGAATCACTGGCTGTGTCCCCAAGACCACTTGCAAAGCGGATCATGCAAGAGTGATGCCTGTTGGAGTCCTAAGGATGCCTGCCTTGGTCCTGGTTAGTGTGGCTGGATGCACAAGAGGGGAATAACTCTCCTACTTTAGCAGTCAAGAAGAAGAGCATGTTGCTGTGCAGGGCTGAGAAGAACTGCATTGCTGCCTCTTGTTCGCCCTTCTACACAACTTGTAAAGAACTTGCTCCTGTTCTCATTTGCCTTGTTGATGGCTTGTAGTGGTTCCCTCTGTGTTCCCATTGGTTTCACATTTCAGCTGCCCCCCCAAAAAAAAGACACATAACATCCTGGACTGGAACAAGGATGCTGCTACTCTCTCCCAGTGGAATCGTGCCTGGCTTCCTGACCCCTGGATTGTGTACCTCCATTCCCACCCTCTCAGCAGCCCTGTCAAAGTTCAATCCCTGGCCCCTCCAATGAAAAAAAGGATCTCAAGAAATATTTTTCTCTGCCTGAGATCTGGAGATGTGCTGCCGGTAGATAGTACTGAACTAGAAGGACGAATGGTTGGGCTCAGAATCAGGCAGTGTCATAGGTTCATTTTAATTTTGGTGTAAGCTGCCCTGTGCAGACTACTTGTTGAAATGCCAGGATAAATAAAAACCAATGTGCAAATAGGTATCTTCTGCAAGCCCTCCCACCTCACGTTCTTCTCTTATTTACCTCTCCAGGTTGTTTAAACTGCAGCAAAATGTCAGAGCTGTTTGAGCGCCTCAATTTCTTGGAAGCCAAGGTCAGTAGCTCTCTTGATTTGGTGTGTGTGTGTGTGTCTCAGCCGTGCTGCTCGATGTGATATTTCTCTCCCACCCCTGCAGCCCCAATCCAGGAAGCCTCTTGACCATAATAGGCCAGAGCAGGTACAATTCCTTGGCTTCTTTGGGTGCAAGTTGGAGCAACAAACAATTCCGCTCCTTCTGGCAACCAGCCACCTTTAGGGTCTACATAACTGGAACCAAGTCAAACCTTGGCTCATCGGGGAAGGACTCCTGCCCTGAGGTCCTTTTCCAATGGTCATTTCTGGTACACAATAAACATGCAACTGATTCTAATTCGTGGCTTCCCCTCTGCCCATGTTTCCCAAAGGCTGTATTTCTGTGCTCAGAGATCAGGCAGTGGATTCTGGATGCCATTAAGAATGGACAAGTAGAAAGCTGATAGATCTGACATCGAGTCTACTGGGAAATTCTCCTGTGCAAACCTGCACTGAAATGAATGGGAACTGCACAATAATGTGCAGACCTGGTAATTTCACTGGGGACTTGTGCAGGAAAACTCCCCAGTCGATTGACCCATGTTAATTATGAAACAGCATGTTTGGATGTTCTGACTCAGGCCCTGAAACATTTTTGGGCCAGCCCAGACAAAAATAGCGTATGCTCAGGGGTCGTTTCGTAGAAAAAGAGCTAGGGGAACTCATTAGCATAACTCATTAGCATATGCCACACCCCCTGACATCACCGGAAGTGTGTCATGAGGCCACACCCCCTGACATCACCGGAAGTGTGTCATAAGGCCACACACCTCGCCCCCAATGGTCTCAGCCGCCACCGCCGGCGTTGCAGATCCACTGCCGAGCCCCATGAGGGGCCCTGCGGTGGACCTGCAAGGCCGGCGGGGGGGCAAAGAAGCCCCCCAGGTAGCGGGACGGCCGGAAGCAGGGGGCGGGGCTTCGTCATGTGCCCCACCCCCCATACCTCACCCGGGGGGACTGCGATCCCCCGCGATCCCCCCCGAAATTGTGGATCTGTCCCCCCCCCATACTCATGCAATGGTTACATCCTTCACCTTCCTCACTGAGGATTTCATTATTGAAAATGCTTGCTCTTTTCACAGGTAGCAACTCTCTCAGCAGCTGAGTCTGTGACTTCCGTGGTACCCGGCAGACGACAGTCCCCTAAGGGAGATGCCTCGGCAGACTCCCTGTCTCTGTGGGGCTCTCTGGCTGCTCAGGGGAGCCCAGGAGATGAAAGCATAAAAGGTAAGTGAATGGGGAGTAAAATGCTGGGTTTACTGGGAGAGGAACAGGTAGGATCTAGAAACCAGCCTCCTTGGAGGTGTGCTGTACATGTACAGTCTCTAAGTTTGCAGAAATCCTGAGAGGTTTCTTAGGGAATTGGAAGCACTCATTTTAAACTCAATTTCCTCTTTCTTAAAACAACTTGAAAGGAATAATGGGGGGTAGAGTGGGACTGGGGCCTGCTCCCTGCTATAGTGTCTCTTTCATCAAGGAGTTGGATCCTTGACACTGGCCAGCAACCGCTGAATCTTGGAGCCTCTCTTCTCACTCAAGGCTTTGTCTTTGTCCTAGCGAAGCCTTTGCATGCAGTCCTTTGAAGTGTATCTTTGCACCATAAAGTTTCTTGTTTTGTTTGTTTAAACAACAACAACCAAAGTGCCGGGATTCACAGGAAGCATAATCCCGTGGCCAATACCTTATTATGTGGCTTTTCTGCACTCTCATGGCATGGTGACACAAACAGACAGCCCCTAACACAGGTTGTGCTGGTTGGTTGAGTGCCAGCATGTGTCTAGTAAGCTTTCCAAGTTCACATGAAGAATGCAGAAGCATCCTGAGATTGGCTGTGACTTCCCTGGAGAGAAATGGGGTCAGTAGAGTTTTGCTTCTGACTGTCGACTCCAGCCATCTGACCTCCCCCCCCCCCTCCTGCCAGCATTGCAGCAGAACTGGTTAGAAGTACACCAGGCAGAGGGCGGGTTTAAATTGAAAGCAGCTGGGTGCCGGGACCGTTCTGGGGTCTGGCAACGGTTCCAGCTTTGGCTAAAGCTTTTCGCAGCTGGAAAGATTTATCAGGCCTTCCCTTGCCCTGACAGAACATGTGTTTCTGGTTTGGTACACAAGGGGAGGAGAGAACGAAGAGGGAAAGATTATGGAGAGACTCCCTTTGGTTTCTCTTTGCACAAAGAATACGGTGGTGGCCAGAATAGGTGGTATCAAGGGGGAGAGAGTCTCTACGGTGCCAGCTGTGGACAGAGGGGTCCAGTCTGCCCCCAGGTTTTCATACCATACAGAAAAGGTGCTGCAGTCTTTGGACCCATTGTAAGGCAAGTCAATGCTGTTCCTCATTTACATTTCTGCACACACAAAACGGTTGTGCATCCTGCAGCATTTTGGGCACCAGAAATGGATTCCTAAAAACCTCACTGATGCTTTACAGCACAACTATATTGATGTGTTGACTATGTGGCGAAGGAACCACAAAATGATGGGTTTGGCACGGTGACCAGCATCGGGACTGCTATGATGACATTTCCTCAGCATCAAGATAGTGGCTCACCACATTTTTCTGGAAGACAGTGGGAATACTGAAATGCAGTCACAGAAATCAGCCTTCCCTTCGGCTGAATTTTTTTAATCCAAAGTTTCTAGACCTCATGGTTCGGGCTGGTTATGGTGGAGGATGGAGGAAATGCATCTGAAATCTTGCAGACAGTGTCTGCAAGTTGCTCCCTTGTTCCGAGAGAGAGTACATGAGCAGCCCTGATTAACTTCAATACTCTGTGCCCTGTTACCAGTTGGGCAGGGCCAGTGTCCAAGGCCTGAGATTCTCCTGGTGTTGGGTATTCCAAACTGCTGACTGTGGCCCATAGCTACAGTGGGGCTATTGGGGGCTTTGCCCCCTTCCTTAAAGGGCCAGCCCCATGAGATTTTTTTAGAAGAATGGGGACACACACACATGGGGTCCCCACTTCTTCTCAAAAGCATTTAAAGGGATCCTTTAACTGCTTTTGAGACGTGGGGGGTGGCACGTGCCCCTCTCCTCCTTCCCTCCTGCAAGATTTAAAGGGCCCTCCAGCGGACTGTTGGGCCGCTTGCTCCCCAGGGATCAGCTGAAGGGTCCTTCAAATCTTGCAGGAGGGGAGGGAGAGGGGTGGCCAGCGGTGGTGGGGCTTGGGGGTGGATTGGAGCTGACATAAAAATGATGGCAGCCCCACCAGAAAATGTTTTGCCCCACAAGCCACAAAATCCTGGCTCGCTGCCTGTGCTGCCTGTCAGAAAGAATGGGGAGGATGGAAGCAGAGGCCTATTAGGGATTTTGGGAGCCCTGGGACAGGTGACTCGCTCTTTTTCATTATTCTGGCATATTCGACCCTGACACATTCAAACTCACATTAACTGTGTGTGTGTGTGTTTCTGTCTTCATTCCAAGGAGCCTTATACTGGACAGTAGAGAAAAGGGGGCTGAAGGTGGTCAGCTATGCCCTCCCTGTTTGCAAAGACTCTACCCTGTGTCTTCTGTTTTCAGCAGGTTTTCCGGGCCCCAGAGACAGGTTGAGGACCACCATTCCGGGACGGGATGGTATGTACTGATGTGAGGCCATTTAAATTCAAAGCAATCTAGTGAGCTTCATAAACCAAACATGTGATGCTCCAGCATTAAATGCATTTCTATTGATATCCTCTGATAAGGAAAAGCAATCTTCCAACCCCCCCTGGTATCACATTCAGGCATCTGCTGCACCTCATCCATCCATTCCATATGCAAGCTTCCTTCCCACTAAGGGGGAGGTATCCTATACATCCAAGGTTTTCAAACTGTGAATTGGTACCCAAAAGTGGGTCACAACTCTCTTGTAGGTGAGTTGCAAGAGGAGAAACAGTGTGAGCTGGGAGAGGAGGCCTGATGGCAAAATCTGCATAGCGTGGCAAATGGCCATGAAATACTGCTTGTTGTTAAGTAGTGCTATAGTAGGTAACGGATACAAACGGTGAAAAATTAAAAAAAAATGTTCAGTGTTACTTGACATGAGAGTCCTGCATTTCATGTTGGGAAGGCAGAAAATAGTGTGGAATTCTTTGCAGGTGGGTCTGCAGTCCTAAACTTTGCAGGTGGGTCCTGAAAAGTATATCAACAACGTAGCTTGTGTAACAAAACACAAAATTGGCTCCATTTCTGGAAGTCAAGCAAAGCTTACCAGTCTTTGGAAGTCAGTTTCCAGTCTTTCAGCCTGTCTAGCTCACAACGTATTTCTAACAGATCAATTGTTCTCCATATGTGCAGAGTGGCTAGAGTACAAAGCCCCTCCGGACATGTTTAGAGTGCCTTTTCTTCTGTGCTCAGCTGCTGTTCCCAACACAGCTGGAGCTGGAGGGAACGTATCTTCCATAAAGGCTTGAACCCTGATAACTCCCTTTTTATTCAAGCCAACCATATTTGTTGGTGCTCATTGTCCTCATTTCCTTTTCATGAGCTTATGAACATGTGAACCCCTCCTTGAGCGTCTCCTTTTCCCACCTCCATTTCAGGAAGACTGGCCTCACAGGGGCCTCCAGGCCCAGCAGGTCCAAAAGGAGATACTGGCATCCGGGGGCCTTCTGGTATTCCTGGTGTTAAGGGTCCTGCTGGACCACAAGGTAAGCCTTGGGCAACAGTGGCAGAGAACATGATATGCATGGAGAAGGCCTCAGATTCCGCTCCCCAGATAAAAGGATAGTATAGTTATGAAATGCCAGTTTGGTGTAGTGAGAGCCAGTTTGGTGTAGTGGTTAAGTGTGCGGACTCTAATCTGGGAGAACCAGGTTTGATTCCCCACTTCTCCACTTGCACCTGCTGGATGACCTTGGGCAAGCTCTAGTTCTGGGACAGCTGTTCTTGAAAAGGGGCAGTTTCTGTCAGAGCTCTTTCAGCCCCAGCTACCTCACAGGGTGTTTGTTGTGGCGAGGGGAAGGGAAAGGAGTTTGTAAGCTGCTCTGAGACTCCTTTGGGAAGTGAAAGGCGGGGTATAAATACAATCTCTTCTCTTCTTCTTCTTATCCTGAGTCCCTCAAAAACTGTTGATCGTTGGCATAGACTATACAGTGATAGATGGACAGATGCTCTGATTCATAATATTGCATATGCTCCTGTTTTAGGGGGAGATATAGCTAAGGTGCCTGGCATGGTGAAAGGCCTTGTAGAATATCCAGTTAAATAATCTCAGGTAGCAGGACTGGGAAAACGTGGAGAGTTGCTGCCAGTCAGAGCAGACGGTATCCAGCAAGGTGGATCAGGGGGTTGACTCAGTACATGGTCACATGTTCATATGGACATTAGACAATAGGTCTGAGACCTTTCCCCATTAAGTGTGGATTAGAGTGGACTGACTGACATGGTTTCCCAGAATCCCTTCTGTAAATTCTTTTTTTTAAAAAACGGTTTATTTAACATTTTCCGTAATTTACATACAGCATTTGTCTTACATTTTTTATCCTTGTGAGTCTTTTCTAATTACATTATCAATCCATATATAAAATGGTTTCCATCGATTTTCAAATATCTCCTTATCTTTTCCTTGTAATCTCAAAGTTAATCTATCCATTTCTGCTAAACCCATCATTTTTTTGATTAATTCATTTTCTGAAGGTACTTTCTCATCTTTCCATTGTTTAGCTAGCAGTATTCTTGCTGCCGTAAGGAAGTATATAATTACATATTTCTCTGTGCTATAGTACATGTCTGGGATCATGTTTAATAAAGCTGTCTCTGGTTTGAAAGGTACCGGTAATCCTATTATTTCTTTTAACATTCGGAAAACCTTTTCCCAGTATCTTTGTACAATATCACACCTCCACCACATATGCATAAATGTGCCGACATTTTTTTTGCACTTCCAACAATTCTTATTAGTCACTACATAAGATTTGGCTATCTTCTCTGGTGTCCAGTGCCACCTGTAGAACATTTTGTATATGTTCTCTTTATAGGGTATTGCCCGCATTAGCTTTATTGATTCCCATAGTTCCACCCATTGTTCTGATTCTGGCATATAGTTTAAGTCTTTAGACCACGTCACCATTGTTCTTTTCACCATTTCTGCCATCATATATTCTTCCATCAGCAGCTTATATAATTTTTGAATAAGCTTATCGCTAGAGGACAGCCAGATCTTGTCCAGTTCATTTTTTTCCTTATAAAATCCTTTTTTCTTGTCCGTCTTATATATCGCCTGTAACTGAGTCTTCTCCCACCACGAAAATTTTACGTTTTGGTTATTCAATTGTTCATCTGATTTCAGATTATTGTTTTCATCTAGCAGCTCTTCATATCTAACTTTCCTCCTTTCCTCCATCAATGTTGACATCGTTGCCGCTTCCATTGGTGCCACCCATTTGGGTGTTTTTATGTAATGTCTCAATTTAACTTCTTTCCAGATTTCCATTAGTGCTCCCCTTAAGGTGTGATTTGTAAAGTTCTTAGGTAGTTTTCCGTCTTCATACCAAACGTACTTGTGCCACCCTACGCCCAGGTTGTTTCCTTCAAGAGATAGCAGTCTAGAGTCTTCCAGCAGTATCCAGTCCCTTATCCACGTCAATGCTGCTGCCTTGTAGTACAAATTCCAATTAGGTACTCCAAATTCTCCTGTTTCTTTTTTGTCCTGTAAATATTTCCTGTTAATTCTTGGTTTTTTATTCTCCCATATGAATTTACTACATATCTTCTCAAAGTCTTTAAAGTAATTGAATTTCCTTAAAATTGGTATATTTTGTGCCAGAAAAATGAATCTCGGTAATACGTTCATCTTGATGATCGCAATTCTCCCCATCAATGAGATCTTCAGATCTTCTGTAAATTCTGATGTCAGACATCCTCCATGAAGGCCGTGGGAAAAGAGGAAGACATGAGATGGATTGACTCAGTAAAGGAAGCCACAGCCTTCAGTTTGCAAGACCTGAACAATAGGACTTTTGCAGTAGAAAAGACGTATCTGAAGAATGTTCCCTCTAAGCTGTGGAGTCCTGTGAGCAAAAATTCTACTTTGTGAGCTACTGGCATTAAAGTTGTGAGCGAGCAATCTGGCTATTGCATAAATCAGTTTGCTCTGCGGCCATCCTTCCTGAGCAAAGGCAAAAATCTGTGAGCTGGAGGCTAAAAAACTGTGAGCTAGCTCACACCAACTCAGCTTAGAGGGAACACTGGCCAGTGACTCACGAAAGCTCATACCCTGCACTGCCACATATTTTGTTAAAGGTGCTACTGGACTCTTGCTCTTTTCGACTGCTATAGACAGACTAACACCTTGATCTATGCCCAGTAGGCCTTTTGGAGATCACTCATTCATAGGGGCGCCATTTAAGTCGGAAGCGATTGGAGGGCACATAACACATTCTCCATACCTCCTCTGACTGCTTGGATACGTGATCTTTCCCTTTGAGGGTGTCTGACAGGTGACATATAATGCTATTTAGTACTGGACTGGATTTATGTGACTGCCATCCTTGACCTGGATGGCCCAGGCTTACCCAAGCTCATCAGATCTCAGAAGCTAAGCAGGGTCAGCCTTGCATAGTACTTGGATGGGAGATCATCAAGGAAGCCAAGGGTTGCCACACAGGGGGAGGCAATGGCCAGCCACTTGTGTTCATCTCTTGCCTTGAAAACTCCATGAGGGGTCACCATAAGTTAGGGTTGCCAAGTCCCCCTGGCAGGTGGGGAAACCCCCTCTCGAGAAGCCCGTTCCCTGCTGGCCCACATTGGGCCACCGGGGGGAACCCCGCTCCCAAAGTGCCAGACGTGCCTGGTGCGATGACGCCATCCGGAGGTGACATCATCCCGTCAGGCACATTGCGGGGGGACGCTCTATCATTTGAGGGAAGACTCTATGGTTTTCCCTCAAATGATTGTGGCCCCGCCCCCAACGTGCCCGACGCGATGATGTCACTTCCGGGTGAGTTGGCTGCGATTTGATGGCTCTTTCCACCACCACCACCACTTGATTGGGAATGTGCAATGACAATGAATATTTCAGAGTTGGCATGTAATGGTATTTAGTAGTTAACCGGTAATGACAGCTAATGAAATTTTGCATGCCCCCAACTCCTGTTTGAGTTATCTTTGATTGGCAGCTCTCCTTCAAAGCTCTTCCCTCAACTGCTACTTTGTCTTCTTAAAAGCCTTGACTTTGTCATAGGCTCTTGAGAGTCCCAAGATTTAATATAATAATCTTGGGTATAAGAATTCATGTTTAGCATGTCAGCAGCTTCTTGTGTCTTCTTACGGCGAGGCGGTTCATTTATTTATTTATGTATTTATTACATTTATACCCCGCCCTCCCAGCCTTGGCTGGCTGTGGCTCCTGGATAGAGGCTGAGAAGGAAAGCCCCCCCTTTCTAAAAATGCATTTGCATTTATTTATTTATATCCTTTTCTTTTCTCCCCAGTTGGGACTCAAATGACTCAGAACATTGCTCTCCCCTCCTCTGTTTTCTCACAACAAACAAGGCCAGGCGGAGAGTCTGTGATGGGCCCACAAGGTTCCCATGACAGAAGTGCGGATCCAAACCCAGGTCTCCTAGAATCCCAGTCCAGCACCCTCTCCACTATGCCATGCCGGCTCTCAGAGAAGCAATTTGCCAATTGTAGTCTTGGGCACACTGGACTGCCATGAAGAAATGGCTAATGTGCTACAATAAATGAAGTCATTAAATAATTAAAGGTTTCTGTGGTCCCAAAGCACAGAAAGAGACTGCCTGCTCTGCTCTGCATCATTCCTTGTTTTGGCCTCGCTTTCTTATAATCAGCTAGAAGTGCTTGAGTGAGTCTACTGTGTTTTCCCCACGTCTGTTATGAACGGATCATTCAGTCATGCCAAATATCATCTGTTACCCATCCTTTTGCATCTCTACACAAGTTTCTGCTCTGGTCTGCCTACCTTCTAAGGAGAGGTGCTCAGAACAGGGACTCGTGCAGAAATGCAAGGTTGGTGGACTCCTCCAAGGGCAGGCCGATCTTGCCTGCTCACATTCTAAAAGTAAACGGTTTCGGATGCAAGAGTGAAGCGTGCCTCCAATTGTAATTCAGGGGGAAAGCGTGCCTCAACTATCAGAAGTTTGAGAAACTCTGGACGAGGGTATCTGAGGAAGTTGACCGACTGCCCAGACTAAACTCGGGCTAAGTCCCTGCAGCTTTGGGTTTACTGGGGGAAAGGGAGGGAGGGAGATCGCTTCCCCATGCAAACTAGGCCCAGGACCTGGCAGGGAAAGGAGCTAACATGGAACTGCGATTATTTTTGGCAGTGTGTCTGCCGGCTCTGTGGGTCTGCTTAATGTTTATTGGGTTTGGAAGGCATCCCAGAGAAAGTCGCCTCTGGCCATTTGGAGTTAAACATTAACCAGCCAGCTCTACCCCACAGAGGACCCATTAGCTCCCCCCCTCCTGCACACTCCTCAATCCCTCCCAGGCACAACTCCTCTCTCAAGTCCCACTTCTTTGTTCAGGACCTCCTTGGACTTTGCGGGAGTGCCTGGGAAGACCAAAACCTTGCCCCCCTTCCTTCTCTCCTGTCTCTGCACGCTCCTGGTCTTCAGCTGCAAGACATGCAAAGCCAAAAAATGTACTTTGTATCCTTCATAACGTAAGAACTGTGCAAAGAGCCTGG